AAGCAGCTTTAATGTTTGACTCCCGTGTGAGAGGAAATAAATGTTACTGTAGCCAAATGAATGCTTGTGCCAGCGGGCTGAAATATTACGGGGTTTATTAATAAGGAAAATTAGCAAGTACGGAGTCAGCCAGCTGAGAAGTTGAGCAGTCCCTGAGTGTCCTTTCCCTTGATGAACTGCAGGTGATTAGCACCTCTCAGGATCAGGCCTTTTATATACATAACTACTTCCACTACTCAGCCCCTTCAATTTATGCCCTGAAGCATGAGATTTGATTATGTTTGTCACTTCAGCTTGCACAGCCTGCTAGTGGGCATTAAATCAGCCGCCGCTTCCTTCCAACCTCCGCGCAGCATTTGCTGCAGTGACCCTTTGGTGGAAGTGCACTCCACAGGCTGTTTGCATTACGTGCTGCATAAAACACTGCCCTCCTCTGCTTGTTAATTGCTTGCCCCTAAATACACAGCCACCCCCTGATTTCACTGAATGTCACCTTCTAATCAGGTGACCGGAGAGGCTAACAAGCAAGGAGAGCTCTGTTCAGTGCCTCCATCACTCTGAATCCCTCTTCCACAAATTCTAGCAAGCAGCATTCATTTCCAAGGAGGTAAAGCTTTCCCCAAGCACCCAACAGAGGGCAAGCGAGACTTTCAGCAGCACTCCGAGGCGGCTGCAGCTCTTGCAGCAGTTTTGCTGGCAGCAAGCTGTTGATCCTGCGCTGCTAGTGTGCATTCTGCTTCGTGTCTACAGTGATTTCATCAGGCAAAAAGAAATGAAAGGACACAATCAAAACTGTGAAGAGTGGTTTCCAGTAAAGCAAGATACTGGTTGTCACCAAGTCACTTCTGCAACGCAGTGGGAGCCCTGGGCAGCTATGTGTGAAAAGGGTTCACGTGGGATTGCTTGGGGGTGAGTTGGTGTTTTTTTTTTTAATAAACCAACCTTGCTGGTCTGGGGTGGGGAAGTGGAGCACCCTGAGAAAGATCTGATAGCTCAGTGGGCAGGGCAGCCCAGCTCACGAGAAGAGCTGTCCTGGTCCTTGGCTTCCTGACTGTGAAAACAAAGAAAGGGATGAGCTCCTTCCTTCTGTAAGTACACTGAGGAAGCCCCATCAGTCTAACGCTGCTCCACAAAAGCTACCCCTCTTAGCCTGCATGCACCCTTACTCCCTGGTGCTCTGGTAGAATTATAGAATCATTGAGATCGGAAAAGACAACTAAAATGACCAAATCCAAGCCATCCCCACCATGCCCATAACCACGTCCCTTGAAAACCTCCAGGGACAGTGACTCCATTGCCTCCTGGGCAGCCTGTGCCAGTGCACCACTGCTCTTTCTGGGAAGAAACTTTTCCTAATATCCAACCTGAGTCTCCCCTGATGCACTTAAAGCCATCACCTGTCAAGGTTTCTGTAGACCAGTGTTTCCACCCTTACAGAAGCAGAAATTTTACATGGAATCTTATGCTTTTGTGAGCACTCAGCCTTTAACAAGGTCAATTATTGCAGTTCGGCTGATGTTTCCTAAGCTCTGTGGAAAGATAAGCTATTTCTTTACAACTCATTGCCTTAGAAGTTGGGTCTATTTTGAAAATGTTCTGCTGTGACCTTCTGACTTCCTCTCATCTTGTAATATGTACTGCTCACTGACTCTGAGAAGAAATAGCAAGCTGCTCTAGAAAAGTCCAGAAAATACTGAAAGGCAGGTTTATTTGTGAAGACGCTCATCAAAAAACCTTGACAGGTGGAAACAGGGGCAAAGAAGAGTAGATAATTGCTTGGTGACAATCTGGAAGCAAAAGACAATGGGAACATGGGGAGGCACAGAGTTGGACTTTCACCTCCACATGTCAACAGCTGAATAATAAAGTCATTAACTGGCTCTTGAGCAAAATAGAGCAAAAAGGAAGGTGTTTGAATCATAACAGGGAATATTGTGAAAAAACCTAGAATTGTTCATTAATCTCTTCTTTGATTGTCATCTGAAGACTCTGCGCTACAGGCTTTTGTATAGGGAGGATGAGGATGAGAGTGGGGACAGATACTCTCTAGGTAACTCTATGGTACAGTTCAGGCTCTTTCCTTTCTTGCTCAAAAGCATCTTACAGCAGGAACTCAATAGCTACTCAAAAAAATTTATCCTCTGCTCCCTGTGACAATGCTTGGACAGAGTATTTTTGTCATTTAATCTCCTGTTCACTGTATTTAAAAGTGGTAAAAAAGCAAACAGTGGGGTTCCAGCCTCCATCTGAGAGAGAAAACCTAGTTTTCTTGGTGGAATTATATTTTTCTCTCTTTGCAAGTTTAAAAAATTGATGAGAAGTAGATGTGCCAAAACTAGGGATAGAGTTGGCCAGCTGTCAAAGTGCTGCTGCCACTACTGATGTGGATTGGGGTATGGCATCTGTCAGTATCAGCAAAAGTCTGGAATCCCACCCTACTTTCCTAAAACCTGCTTTCCTTCCAAGAAAGCAGTGATTTCCCTCCCAGGAATCAGGGCAGATCACCTACCCAAACACCTCCTTGGGAAAACCTTGGAAGAGGCATTAGAGGAAGATGACACTCAAACGCAACTGTATTTATTGTATCTCAGAAATATGACAATATGTAAGGAAAACAGAATTCTAAAGAAACAATCTTATCTAGAGAAAATAATAGTTCAGATATACTGAATTCACAGAAAAATCAATGTGTGTGAGAAGTAGCAAAATCCATGTTTTAGAAAATATCCATGCACCTGCATGAGGATATGTTAGTTCACAAGGACAGGATAAGAATTTCATGATCTGATCAGGGTCACTGAAGTTTCAAAATTCTAACAATCAGCAAATGTTTATTTGTATCCCACTGCGATACTGGATTCGTTTAAGGGTAATAAGGGGTGTGGAATACCCACTGAATCTCTTCATCTCAGGCCTGTCAGTAAATTGACTCCCATTATTGGATTGTATTGTTTGGGGTTTGGGCAAACAGCTAAACTAGAGCTTCAAACCCCTCACAGTGTTATCTCCTGAGACTGCTTGGCCTGGGTCAACTCTGACACAATCTCAACTCCTACTAATGCATATTGCTTCCCTTCAGAAAGTCAAAATAGATGAATCATAGAATCATAGAATTGTTTGGGTTGGAAGGGACCTTTCAGATCATTTAGTTCCAAGCCCAGGAACACCTTCCACTAGACCAGGTTGCTCAAAGCCCCATCCAGACCGGCCTTGAATGCTACTTGCCAAGCATCCCACAGCCCTTTGTTATCTTTCAAATGCAGGTGTCGGTCCTTAAGAGGGTTATGTTCTCCCAGTCAGGTGAGACATAAGGCCCCAACCAACACATCATCAATATATTGGTATACTCTGAGTCCCTTTCTAGGAGTGATGCATTCAAGTTCTTGTGCCAGTGCACAGTGGGCAAAGGCAGTGAAAGAAGATACTCCTAGGGGAGGGGCATAAAAGTAAACTGCACACCTTCCCACGTAAAAGCAAACTATTCCTGTCTGTTTCTTGCAAAGACCTTTACAAAGAGAGAGTTTGCATTAGAACTGCAGTAAGAGCCCTTCTGGCCAAGGCTGACCAAGACAGTGAAAGGACAATATACTGCAAGCAGGAAAGGACAGCTACTGTAGAAGTCATCATTTTATTATCTCTCTCTTGCTTGCATACATCAAAATGGGTAATCAATATCTATTTGTAGAGCATGAAATCATCTTAGCAAAGAGCTAAGACATTGCTACCCTCTGTAACCTATAACCAGCCAGAGCCCCGATAGGCTGCCCCGATAGGAATTTGGAAGAACTAAAGAAAACCTTAATACATGAGCTCACCTGCAATGTCCTTAGGCTTGGGGACTGGTTGTGATTTTGAAAGGGAAAAGAAATCCTATGTTCTTCCTGAATGATTTATTGCTAATGAGTAAAGGACCAAACTAAAATAGATTGGCATCAAGGTATGACAATGAACTAATGAGGACTACACGCTGCAGTCATGAAATCAGATTCAGAGTTCGATCAATCAGTGCATGAACCATTACATATTAACAACTGATCAAAACATCACGTAGACTGTCAGCAGGATTTGAATGAAGCAACTCAGCGTTGAACCGGTTGTTACAAAACATTAACCCAGCAAACCTAAGGGCTGCCGTGACCTTTACTTAGCCCTCTTGTGCAGGAGATAGATCCTCCAAAGCTAACAGTTAGCGTGCAGAGAACAGAATTAACCCTTATACTACATGCGCGCACTGAAGGCAAAAATGTCTTGTGAATGTTTATGTAATAATTTGTGTATACTTGTGTATTTGAGGAATTTGCATCCTGAGTTAAGCCAGTATTTGGGGTATGCATATGTTTTACTGGCACATCTAGAGGAGCACAAAGCTGGAAGGACAGATGGTCAGCCCCAAAGTGTCCTCTGAGCCACTGCTTGGCCTGACCCATGTGTTTCAAGTCACAAAACACCTCCCACCAGCATAAAACAAGCTGAAGACCATTAGGACAAAGGCTGAGAAGTCTCCCCAGCTACAACATACTCCAGGAAGGGAGCAGGAGAAATCAACAGTCTGAGATCTGCAAGTATATCCGCATTAGCCGGTGATTCTACATTGCTCCTCCTCTACTACTCCAGGAAGCTGGAGTAACAGAAATGCCTATCATGTACAGATCTCTCTGTGCCTTCTTGGTGTAATCCAAGAATTCATCACTTCTCGTACTTCCATCTATTGGGATCCATCTTACAGTTTGAGGTTCTTTATGCTGAGAGCTGGTGGCTGATGTGGGAGCAGCTGATTTATTTCACTCACACTGATAGCGATGAGCCAAAGGCTGGAAGAGTCTGTGTTGATGATTTCAGTCCGTGCTTATGCAAGCAGCCTCAGTACTGAAGACATCAGGAATCCCTAAAGCAAGATCTTCTTGGAGGTTATTTTCTTGAAGGATTTTTTTTTTTTTTTTAAAGCTGTCATAATGCAAACAGCACAGCACACAACACACCTCAGAATTCAACTTTGCATCTATACCACAACCATAGGAGCTCAAGTCCCTGCACAGTCCACTGGAGTGGAGCTCCTTCTGATGTCTCTGCCTCCTTCTCACACTCTTGTGTCCATGGCATACATTTTGGCAGTTGCTGTTTGTGAGGATGGCAAATGCACATTTGTTACGATCGTCCCAGCAGAGGAATAGCCTTTCCTCAAGGAGTATGCAGAGTGGAGCCTTCCAGAGCTGGTCTCTGTGAGGGGAGAAATGAGATCTACTCACAAGTGCTCAGAGGTTCTCAGACTGTAAACCCTCACCATACAGAGAAAGAAGCACTCCAAGATATGAAATAATAACATTTTATGCCATACTTGCACCTCAGCTCCCACCCAAAGCCCTCAATGTGCTATATAGTATTGCTGAAATAACACTATTCCCATTTTACAGCTGAAGATGTTGCAGTGAAGGATGAGCAACTATCCTGAAGGATGTCCTTGAAGGACATTCCTAACTCTATGGGCCTGCAGCAGGCCCTGAGCAATGTTTCCATCCCTTCACTGTGTTTCAGACCTGCCCGGGCTCCTCACCTCTGAAGAGGTACATGCAGCAGGTGAGCAGGGACCCAGATAAGAAGCAGCCCAGTGATCCCGCCATGCCGAGCCAGCACGACCAGCCAAACTTGTACTGGATGCCCAGAAAGACGTTGTGGAAGACCAGAGATGTGCGCTCCACGTAGACATCAATGGCATACCACACTGATCCCGTGATGCCTGGGAGACCTGCAGGACAGGAGGGAGGTGCCACACAGAGCTCCACAGTCAGACCACAGCAGTCATGAGGAGACCACAAGCACAAAATCCTGAGCTGTAGCCTTCAGTCTCCTGGATCAAACTTCAGGATGGGAAGACCCTCCTTTGACATCAAGTTTTGGCCCCTGCTCTGTCCCAGCTCTATTTGGCTGATTCACCCTGGCCCCTGCTGATGTTGTCTTGAGCCCTGTATACAAGAGCTGTATCTCATACCCACAGCTCCAGTTTGTAGCATTTTTATAGGATATTAGTAAGATACTTGGAAAAATTTCTGTTCAGAAAGAGTAGTGAGATATTAGCACAGGCTGCCCAGGGAGGTGGTGGAGTTACCATCCCTGGAGCTGTTCAAGAACCATAGAGATGTGGCACTGAGGGATGTGGGTTAGTGGGCATGGTGTGATGGGTTGATGGTTAGCCTCGATGATCTTAGTGGTCTTTTCCAACATTTATGATTCTATGACTCACACAGATTTCTGCATTAAGTGCCAAAAATCTCAGCTTCTTCTTCTTGTAAAGTTTCTTTGAGATATTAATTTTCTAATCTCTTTTGACTTTCTGAACTTTGACAACATTTTTCAGATTGATTTTGTGAGGCACATGGAGGGTGTTTAAAAGAACCTCTCTAAGTAGTTCACATGTGCACCCAGTAGCTGCAGTGAGTTTCATGTTAAATCTACATGTGCTGAAGCGAAGGTAGATGCTCAATATTGTCATAAAGTCAAATGAAATGACTCGGAACCTGTTGGCAGTCTATTTATTTTTGTATTTAAAACTCTTCCACTGGCTGTAATAGCAAAGCATCTCAGTCAGTAAAGTATTTATCACCCAGGAAGGAAAGAAAAATTACCCTTTTGTTACAAATGAGCTGAAGAGATTTTGGGCTAAGTGACTTGCCCAAGGCCACACAATCTGTGGAAGAGCCAGGAACTGAATCAGGGTGCCAGGGCGTTTCTAGTCCTCTGGTAATTCTGCCTCTTTGCCCTATCAACAACGCTGACTTCCTCACGGTAAATCAACAATAAGTGGAAGTCAGTCAGCTCAGCAACCAAGGAATCTGGCCAATAAGTGAAATGGAAGAAGATAGACTCAGCTACTTGCTACTAGGGGCAGGCAGACAGTCCTGGAAGCTATACTGCACAGATAAAGCAAATAAACATCCTTCCTTGGTGTTTGCCCTCTAGAAAATCACCAGCTCCTGTCTCCAAAATAAGGGAAGGTATTAAACCTCCTTTTTGCTGAAGGATGCCCTGCAAAGTGAGGAATGGTCCAAGAATACCTGCAATGAGCAAGGTAACTCCAGACACCAGACAGATGCGCAGCTTGATAAGTGGCTCATCTGGAAGGAATTTCACACAGTCCAGTCCCAGGACAAGGAAGAGAAATCCAAATCCTGCCAGGATATCTGCTGTGATCATCATGGCTCGGGTCAGCACCAGCTTCACTGTAGAAGAGAAGCAGAACAAACGAGGAATGGACATGTGGGTGGGTAATTGGGTCAGGTCCTGTGGGAACACCTTTTCCTGGGGTGAAGCTTCCTCCAGCTTTCCCTGGGACTAATGCCTCACTGAGAGAAATACGGTCACAGTATATAAGTGCACCAAATTATCTGTGACTGAATAGGAGAGATGCCCTTTTTGATCCCTGTCCTATGCTCAGGTGTCCCCAGCTCTCATGGAAACATCTTTGCCTCTTACATACCAGGGTGCTCAGCGAAGATGGAGTCGTACTCATCACATGTTTGGATCCCATCAAAAACATTTGTGACACATTCCCACCACAGACCACGGCATTTTGTACTCACCTATGGGTCAAGGAGAGAGAAAAAAGACCCTAAGTTAGTATATCCACCAATCTGGTGGATGGGCAGTTCAGTAAATGTCCTGGTTCATCTGTTTTGATAGCTAATCGGAGTTATTTTGTAGGAAATACTAAGAAAAGGAGAAGGATGGAGAGAAAAGGCAATGTTTTCTATTTCTGCTCTTGATTTTACAATGGAATGAAAAGGATTCAGATGAGAAAACAAACAAACAAACAAACAAAAAAAAGTCCTATTGGGGAGGATACAAATTCTGAGGAAAAATGCTGGGAAGATCTAGGGGTGGCTGGTTGGAGATATCTAAGAGGAGGTTTGCTCAGTCCTTGCCAGTTATTCGTCCAGGCTGAGCTGGGCAGGGCCATGGACCGGACGACCCGTGAATCTGCTATTCCACTCCCTTCCAACCACCTCCCTGCAGAGAAGGCTCTGAGGATGGAGCTGCCCATGACTCATAGGGACCAGCCTCGTACCAGGAGGAGGTGGCCCCATCACGATAAGGGAGTGTTCTGTGCAGAGTGGAGGTGTGAGCCCCTTCCCAGACGCTTCTCAAGGGCTGCCCCAAATGACTCAGCCATAAACACCAGCTGGAAGAGCAGGGGCAGTCAGTGCTGATCCTGGCCCTGGGGCTCTTCCTGCACACTGCCAGCTGTGGGACCAATCACACTCATCGTCGAGACATCCAGGCTTTGTACAGCTTGCAGTCGCACGGTGGCTCATCGTTTCCATCCTCATGAAGCCTTAGATAGCGTTCCTGGCCCAGCCTTCCATAAATTACTTTAACAGGGGAGGTGTTTTCATTACCCATGCAAATACGGCAGTCAGCACCTGTGAAACACTTCTAGGATTGCTCATAGGAGGAGCAGGGATAATGTGGGGGCAGCTTGGGGCTCCAACCTTCCCTGCTGTTGGCAGGGGCACCCCACTGGAAACAGGGAATGGGGAATGGGTCTGTCAGAGGGGACAAGAGCTGTCCTGGTTTGGATAATGCAAGAAATCTCTTTTTCTTATGCTTTGAAAATCGCAAAGCAGATAATAATGCACACCAGACACTTAATGAAGTCTAATTCGGGATATACTGAAGCCTGAAGCCAACCACAGCATAGACTCCATAACACAGTGTACAAGCCAAACTATGCTCTCTGTGATACTGAATGGCAGATTACAGGTGTCTAAAAATGACTCACTATTTCAGACTGGTAAAAAAAGTTATTGCCCAAGTTTCAGTGAAAACAATCCATACATTTTGTTTTGTGAAGATGAAAACTACTTGCAAGTTCTGAGAATGCTGGGGGCAAGTCAAATGAATGATATCACAAAAATGAAGAGTTGTGCAGGAAAAAGATATGGTTTCATTGACTGTTATTTTTCAAGGGAAAAGTTTTATGAAAAAAATTTGCATAGATGTTAGTTTTCACTTGAAATTAACATATTTTTATTAAATTGCATTTTGTTCCGCTTGTGTTTATACCATTTCATATTCATCCTAAATCTCTGTGGGTTTATTCACGCTATTCTGTATTCAGCTGCTACTCTCATGTACTTCCTCACTTGCTCACCTTAGTATTGTTTTTTAAGTCTTACAGGCAGCACCCTCATCAACATTATTTATAAAGAGACTAACAGCATTCCAAGCTTTGTTAGCTTCCGTGTAAAACAGAAGCAGGTCTTTGAGATACAAAATCTGTGATCAACGATCTGGATTGTGAATCAACCCCCTTTCCAGATTGGGAAAAACTTGATGAATGTTTTTTGTTTCTTGGGATGTTTCAGCTGTTACCTACTCTTGCTAGCGCTGAACATGGGCAAACCCAAGCACTAATTTCTGATTTCTCTTTTCTCCCATAGCAAATCTGCCCAGCCAAGGGCTCTCCAAGAAGCTGCACTTCTTGTTCCAAACTCCCATCTCCAGCTCTGATTGTGAAACACATGGCCACGACCTGCTTTCCCTAGCACAAGTACGCATGTAAAACATCGACTGCGTAATGACTGCAATACATATAATCATATCCTATGCGCAATGTATAATTGCTACTAAAATAATTCTAATACAAAAATAAAAAACGAAAGAACAAGCACACGCTCACCATCCTGGGGAAAGCATGTGGTGTTTTACAGCACTGTAGAAGATGCCAACGCAGTGATTGCCGAGCACGAGTGAACCAGGCAGTGCTTAGCAGTGGTGGGGATTCTTTTAATCCAGCTGCAACAGGGAGGGACTGAGTGGACACAACGTAGTACTTGTTAGGAAGCAGTTTATAGCTTTTACCAGCACAAACCACTGCAAATCCTGCCCCAGCCTTGCTCACAGTGCATGAGCACGAGCCCTGCTCTGTGCTGCAGCATCTTGCTGGATCCTGAGTCCTGCAGCAGAGATGAGCTGCTGGAGGCCAAGGGATTTCCACACTGGAGAACAAAGGTCCTTTCTTAAGAAAAATTCCTTCTCAGAAAGAGCAATGAGGCATTGGCACAGGCTGCTCTGGGAGGTGGTAGAGTCACCGTCCTTGGAGGTGTTTAAGAACCACAGAGATGTGGCAATGAGGGATGCAGGTCAGTGGGGATGGTGTGATGGGTTGACAGCACGACTCAGTGATCTTAGTGGTCTTTTCCAACCTCAGTGATTCTATGATTCTGTGATTTCTCCTGAAGTCAAAATTTGCCTGAACTACCCTCTTCCTAGCTGAAACCAGCAGTTTTATACTGAAGACCTTTCTGGCCATGAGTGGTTTCCCTGCATTCCCATATTGCGAGAAGCAGTGAGTCATTAGGGCCATTAGGGAGCTCATTCAGTCAGGTATTAAGGCTGGGGGCATTTTGCTCTATTATTTAGTATTCACACTCAGAGCAGGAATGTGAGAGTGGTACCTGCTAATAACCACACAGGGTGTTAATGGGACGCTTAGGGACAGCCCAGCACAGGTGCCTCCTGACAAGAAGACAAGGTTACATGGCCTCAGGATCGGTTCTTTTCTGGACTCACTTTACTTAGGAGCAGGGTTTTCCTCCTCCATTCTGCTTAGAAATTATGGATCAATGATGGGTTGATGGTTGGACTAGATGATCTCAAGTGGTCTTTTCCAACCTTATTAATCCTATGATTCTGTTACTCAATTTGGCTTTTCTGATCATAGCAACATCCTCAGCTTACTCCAGGTGACTCACAGCTTCCTGAAATGAATCTAAAACGTGTTCCAAATTAGGATGATAAGCAAAGAGTGATATCCCAGTCACACCAGAGGGATTATGCTGTTTTTCTTGACATAAAAGTGCTAATGTCTGCACAAGTTCAAGACAATACTTTAGGGAGCTGGATCTGACAGTCCCTATGTACTCCATAGACTTCTGCTAGCTCTATAGCTCTGTAGCTGTTAAGAAAAATGTTCATGTGCATGTTGGACTTCATCACCAAGAAGTCTGACCTACAAAATTAGAAACATCTCCAAAAAACCCACGCAGGCTGGAGCTGCAGGGTGACACACTCTAGTCCACGCACACTTACATCTGGAGCTTCTAAACTTTTCCTGAGAGTGAAATCCAGCAGAGAGAATTACACAAAATACCAGTTTTCCCCAGCTCTTGCCAGAGCCATTCATCTCATTTTCATCCACTTTCATCCTGCATGACAGGGGAAATGTAGATGAAAGCGAAGCAATGATACCAGAAACCAAATTCTCTCTAGGACACGTTTGATTTGGAGATCAGGTTCTCCAAAAGATCTTACCTCCAGGGAATCGTCAGCATTCACCATCCAGCAATCTGTCCAGGTAGATGCTATCAAAAAGCCAGTAGAGAAAAAAGCAAAAAAACAGCCGGCATACTGGAGGAAAAACCTCATCCCAGCAGGTGTCGGTACATCCAGCGGCATGGCAAAAGCAGTGCCCAGGTCTTGTTCTTAAAGCTGGGCAAAAGGCAGAACCTCAGCATCCCAGATTGCCTCTATTTGTTCCAGTGGCCATGAGCAGAAGGACTTTCTGCCTTTTGTAGATGTCACATGTGGAGAATGGCTGCCGGAGTGCAGGACTACAGTGAGGATAGGAGGAGGGAGCCCAGAGCTCCTGCCACCAATCAGCCCCACATGGCTGGAGCTGGTCATGCTTGGCTGGAGGGAATGGGGCTGAGCAGGAGTGGCACACAGGTAACTGGAGTCCTGGGCCTGTGAGGGGAAAAAATGAAAAGTATGATGGCAGGGACTGGGAAAGCAGGGATTTCTAAAAAGAATCAAAAGCTGTTGTTCAGTGCAGAAGTGTTGAGCACTGTTCAGTCACACTCAAGAGCATCCATACATACATGCATGCAATTTGTTAACATTTATTCCTCCAGACTTGTTCATGCCTGAGCACTGAGAAACTATAATGTGTACAAGGGTAATTCCCAGGCCCTTCTGTTCCTCCACAGGGCTCCAGTTCCCCAATGATTGAGCTTGATGCAGGAACATCATTAGGAAGGGAAGGGAACAGGCATCAGCTGTGGGCCCCCAGAGCCAACACCAACAGCTCCTAACAGCCATCTCAACTCAGCTGTGGAGCCAAACCCAAAACTCCTCATGCCTGCTCATCAGTTTGTTCACTGCAGTTCACACATGGGAATCCTGAACTTTTCCAGCCAAGTTCCAGGGCACCTTCCAGGAAAACCAAGGGGGACCAGGACTATTCCAAAAGTCCAAATGCACAAAATCAGCACAGACTCAACAATCTTTACTTTTGGAAAGAGAAACCATAAAAGAAAGGAGATTCACTATCAGTGGGCAAGTCTTCTGTGCAGGGCTGAGGAGCAGCTTCTTGCTCTGCTTTCAGCTGCGTGCAGTCTGCCTCCAAACCGAGAGTGGCTGTAATCTCAGCTGCCACCTGAAGATGGAGCCAGGCGGTACTTTTACAAAGCTGCTCAGAGCTTGCTTTCTCTGCTCCAGGATTTCCAAATACAAGAGCAATGACAAATTTATTATTGCAATGATAGATGTAGCCTGTAGAATTCCTCTCATAGCCTCATGGAGCAGTTTTACTCCCACAGTCAGCCTTCTGCCCTGATCCCAGGATCACTCCGTTCTACAGAGGTCACACTACAGAGAAGTCCTCAGCGTGTGCTTCTGGAAGGCACTGCACAAAGAACAAAATGCCCACGTCGAAAAGCCAGGCTCTGCAGGACTCTGTGCTGCTTTACCTCATCTCATTTGTGTTTTATAATTCCATCCTTAGAAGGTGACCACTGCAAAACTTTTCATCTTTCTGTGCTGGATGCTGTAGTGAGCCTTCCCACAAACAGAACTGAATCCTTACGGAGGACAAGAGCAGAGCTTGCAAGCAGCAGAATCACAGAATGGCCAGGGTTGGAAGGGACCTTAAGGATCATGAATCTCCAACCTCCCTGCCACATGCAGGGCCACCAACCTGCCTATTTAATATTAGACCAGGATGCCCAGGGCTCCATCCAATCTGGCCTTGAACATCTCAGGGACGGGGCATTCACAACCTCTCTGGGCAGCCTGTTCCAGTACCTCACCACTCTCATAGTAAAGAACTTCCTCCTGACATCCAATCTAAATCTTCCCTCCCTCAACTTAAAAGCATTTCCCCTTGTCCTACTGTTAAGGACTGCTGTTAATCCAGCAGAGCCTGGATTGGGCAAGAAACGTGCTACAGACATATCAAAGACTCACAGAATCATTAAGATTGGAAAAGACCACTAAGATCACCAAGTCCAAATGTCAACCCAATCCCACCATGCCCACTGACTATGTCCCTGGGGAGCCTGTGCCAATTCCACACTATATGCATCTCCATACATATCTCACCATCTTGAACTCCCATACAACCTCTCTAAGAGAAAAAATAAAACACAATTTGGAGAGAACAGGCTATTTTTCCCAACACAAGCATAAGGCAGAAAGAAAAAGCTCCCAGAAGGATAGTAGGACCACACTAATAGCCAGAGTAGTGTTTCAAAGCTTTTGTTCTAAGCTTAGCCCACTGGATGTCCAAGAAGCAATACCATTGAAAGGCTGAAGGCAGGTGTTCAGGTGCCCATGGCACCCATGATTTGCTCCATCTCTCTACAGTCCTGGCAATATTATGTTTATTTTCCGCATGCCTAGAGATTCATGCTGCTGTCCCAACTCCATGCTCTGCCTGTGTGCACCCTTCCTGCAGGGCAAGGGAGTGAATGACCCTTCCTGGAGCAGGATGCCAGTGCTTCTCTGGCTGTGAGTCACTGGGGACGGGAAGTGGCTTAACACTGGCCATTTGCATCTAGCTTGGGGCGCAGGAGCATCCTGGCCTTGTTGAGGAGCAGGCCAGAATCCTCCAGCTTTCTTTGGTGTAAGACTGCTACAGAGCATGTGACACGAGACAGTCATCAGTCATCCAGTCCAACCATCCACCCACTACTAATATTGCCCACTAACCACATCCCTGAGTGCCACATCTCCACAATTCTTGAACATATCAGGGTGGTGACTCCATCACATCCCTGTGCAGCCTGTGCCAGGGTTCAACCACTCTTTCTGAGAAGTTGTTTTTCCTAATATCCAGCCTGAACCTTCTTATACTTTGCATTCCCAGAATAGCATGACAGATGACCTTTCCTCCCTACAACTACCTGAAGGAGGTTGGAGCAAGGTGGGGATCGACCTCTTCTCCCAGGCAACAGCTATATAAAGAGAGGCAATGGCCTTCAGTTGCACCAGGTAGGGTTCAGGTTGGATATTAGGAAAAATTCCCTCTCAGAAAGAGTGGTGAGGCAGTGGCACAGGCTGCCCAGGGGGGTGGTGCAGTCACTGTCCCTGAAGGTGTTCAAGAACCATAGAGATGTGGCACTGAAGGACGTGGTCAGTGGGCATGGTGTGATGGGTTGACAGCAGGACCTGATGATCTCAGTGGTCTTTCCCAACCGTAATGATTCTGTGATTCTAAAATTTACAATACTTTGAGGCTAACAAAAGCACTGGAGTGTCCTAGTACTTAATTACCAGAGCTTGGCCTTGTAGAGTTCTTAAACTGCATGGGAACAATGCAGCACAACCTGGCTAACACAGCAGCCTTATCACCTGGTTCGCATGCTCCCAGTAATAAGATGAGCATGCTCCAGGTTGATTGCTTTTATTACTCCATTAGCACAAAGTGGACTGTGTTCCCTGTCAAAGACAAGCTATTACATTCTCATTTCCATTACGGATGTACTTAGAGAAAGTGACAGGGACTCCTGCTACTTGTGGGAGGATCATGGCTGATTTTCAGCCATGTACCCACAGAATTGTTCTTAGAACAACACCCAGTGAGGCTGCAGTCCCATGAGCAGAGCACAGTGTGTCCCACTTTTGCTGCCAGCATGTTCAAGAGCCGTGGAAATGAGGGTTAGTAGGCATGGTGGAGATGAGCTGACAATTGGACTACGTGGACTTTGTGGTCTTTTCCAATTTTAATGCTTCTATGATTCTATGATACATTTTATTTTACAGCTGTATAGTAAACCCCACACCTGAGGAACATAACGTTTCAGAGACGTATTACTAACCCCATTCTAGTGCTGGGGAAACTGAGGCGGTGACTAAGCAAGCGACTTAGATCGAGAGCGAGGAGTCACAGCCCTGCTCCTCCTGCCACACAGTGGCTGCACTCTCCACGTGGGAGTGGTGAGATCTTTATCTGCCCAACATGCGTGACCGCTCAGGGTTCCTGAAAGCAGTCACCAAGAACACGCAGTGCTGTCACTACATACCAGGCTCACGCAGGCGTGTACAGGCAGAGGAGCGGGGCAGCGGATCAGACACACCTTTTCTTGGCATGTCCTTAGTTCCGTGAATAGCCCTCGTCCCCAGGCACCCCGTGGGCTGTTGGTTCCCTGCCACTTCCCTGCATCGTCATCCCCTTCTGAGCACTCGTCTCCCAGCATAAGCCTGAATTCCCCCCACCACGATGCAAAGGTGACTGAAGCACAAGGTCTGTGCTTCCAATCTCAGTCGTGTTGGAAGGACACAGGGAGCAGGGTGCACATCTGGCTCTTTCCACAGTTCCAGGGAAAAGCAAAGGAAGCGAAGTCACACAGTGGAAACTGCTCATGCTTCCCAGGAAGCTGGCTCCCTTTTGGTGAGCACTTGTCCCAGTAAGCCAGGACGTGTCCCTGGACCTGCTGCTGTCCCCTGCAGCCCAGTGACTCACTGCACAAGAAGCATCCACTCTGGAACACCGTGCCCCTCACTCCCATTCAGCCGACTTTCTTATCAGAGAGTGACAAAAGACCCTCCAGGGGACTGAGAGAGGGGGGATGAAAGGGGCTGCTGAGAAATGCTTAGCATGGCAATAAGATGTTTGATCTGCTGTGGAAGGGAGAGGGTTGAGGTTGGGAGAAAGCATAGAGCTGACTCACAGCTCACAAGCTTACGGCAGCTTTTGGGGCTGGCTGGGTGATGTGGGTGCCTGCCCATCTGCCTGGGACCAGTTCCTCACTGCTGTCCCTGTGTTGGACACACAGATCTGCCCAGAGCTGATGTGGGACTGACCCAGATCTTCCACATTCCCTAACCCTAACCCTAGCCCTAAATAAGTGAGGAGGGGCTCTCACTTTTCTTTCCTAACAGAGGCTTGAGCCAAACTGCCCATTCACTGAGCATCACTCCCATCCTTACTCCTTTCTCCCAGTGTTGGAGTTCCTCTCACTTTTGCATCATCCCTGGCCCCCACCTACACAGGTCCCACTGTGTCTCACGCTGTTCCCACCTCATTTGTTCTCCCACCAGAAGCAGTCACCCAGCCACACTGACAGTCCTGCAGCCTGGTGGGTCCCTGCTTTCACTGAGAAAGGACACCGGGCACAAGGAGTTTCTTCATCTGCTTCTACTCATATTTTGTAGGTGCTTTCACAGGGGCGTGGGCCTGCCGGTGCACTCCCAAGTCACCAAACCTTTTGTGTGCACGGGCTCTGGGAAGGTTTTTCGTGACAGAGAGACAAAGCTGTGAGAAAAGCACGTAGAGCCCCTGGACTGTAGCCAGGTAACTGGGGCTTTCATCTCCCTGAGGCACTGAAATATGACCCTGTGTTGCCAGCGTGCTCTCCCAGCCCTAAAGACAACGAGAAAACGAGAACCATGCGTCAGAAAGTTGGGGGGGTGGAGGGGGAGAGGTGAAGCTCTGTCCCTCCTC